GGGGGGGGTAGAGAGGAGAGGGGGGTTGTAGTTTATGTGGTATTGAGAGACAGAATCAGAGAGAAAAGAATAAATAAAAAATAAAAAATAAATTAATAACTGCTTTATATTGATTTGTCGCCTCAATATTCAAATAGGAGGCAAAGAGAGAAAGAAAGAAAGAAAGAAAGAGAGAGACGGGGTGTACATACACCCCAGCATGGAGCCGGTGAGGATATATATATATAGGGTAATATTGAATATAAAAAGTGAAAATAAAAGTATTTATAAGTAAAATAACGATAAATATTCAGAAAAAAGAAGTAAAATAGCTGTATTTCGGCGCGTTTTCTCTCTTTTTTTTTAGGTGTATATACACCCGAAAATACCTGCATCAGCAGCAGCAGCTTCCCTGTATGTAGAGAGTTTTAGCTTTCTTTCTCCGCCGGGGGGGGGGAGATAGAAGGATAAATAAGAGAAACATGAGCGATCCTCGGTCTTCTGTGTATTATTTTATGTTTTTAATTATAATAAATATTAAAAAATAAATAAAATTGCGTTTTTTTTGGTGTATATACACCCCAGGAGAGGTAAGGATGCAGCTGCTGGTGACGGCGGCGCCTGTGTTGTTATATATATGAACACCGCCATTCTACCCTGCAACAATTTGTATCAGTTTTTTTCTTTTTTTTTCTTTTTTTTCTTCTTTTTATTTATAATTTATATATTCTAGTTAATATTTCTATTTATATTTCAAATCTCTGTGTTTCTGCTGCCGGTGCTGGTCGTGTGGTGTTTCATATATTCAGCTGTATATACACCTCAACTACCTGCGTATACACCGCAGCGGTGTGTATATTCAGGTGTATATACACCTCGTTTGTTGGTGTATAAACCTCATCAGCATGAGTTTTATTTCATCAGCAGCAGGGAGCCGACTGTGTAGTGTATTTAATTTCAGTATGGGCGTTGGTAGCAGCAGCAACAGCAGCAGCAGCAGCAGCAGCAGCAGCAGCAGCAGCAGCTGCTGCAGCCGCATAGAAAAAGGATATAAAAGTCTAGGACATATATATTATTATTATTATCATAAACAAAAAGAAACAAATGATAGAACAGAACAAGCAATGTATGTATTGAGAGAGTTTATAGATATATGTTGTTATGGTATAGTATATATGCTGGGGTGTATAGACAGCTCAATAAAAAAAAGTAAAATATATATAATAGAGAATGAAAATATAAATAAAATAAAAACAGATATCTCTTTTCTTTTTCTTTCTCCTATATTCTGGTTTCTCTCTATTTTTTTATTTATTTCTCTTTCTTTTGTCTCTATCCCTCTTCTTCTCTGGGTTCTTGCTGCTCCTCTTCTTCTCCCTTTAGTTGATTTTAATACTTTTTGTAAAACTGAAAAT